ATCTACAGTGCCCATCCAGCATTATTAAAAATTAAGCATACCTTTCTTGATACATTTTTGAAGTCTTCAGTAGGGGACTGCAAGCCACAGACAGGGTAAAGAAAGTTGTAAAGTACTGAGACACAGACCAACACATTATTGGATTTTTAGTCTTTTCATGGGTTTTTGTGACACACACAGACACACAAACACACATACGGATAATGTCACAGATGAACCTACTCCCTGAGTGTCAAAGGTCAGACAATCAAAATCAACTTCTTCCCTCAGTCTCTTCTTGTCCTTGTCCTCCTCCTTCTTCACTCCTCCTCCTCCTCCTCCTCCTTTTGCTGCTGTCATTTTATTTTTCACCTGCGGTAACATCCCTCTCTCTCTCTCTTTACCCCCTACCTTCAGCCTCCTCCCTTGGCTTCCATATTGATTTACTCAATATCCCGCGGTCACATTCTTGTGGCGAAGGTTTCCGGCTGAAATCCGCTGACATTTACCTCCCAGTCACAACATGGCTCATTTAAACCCCACAAAATAGTGCATGCTTTTACAGTACATGTGAAAGCTAAAGGATGATTGCCCACAATCTGAGAGGTGGAAGTCAAAGACCTGCGTGCGTTTACTGAACATCTAAACACAACTAAATCTAAACTTCCTTGTTTTCTATTTTCACGCCAACTCCTCCATTGGTCCCTTGTTACCATGGAGATGTCTCTGATCCAAGTTGGGTTTTGAGAGTGAGAGACAGAAAGAGACAATGACTGCGAAAGACTGGTTTTGTAAGGTCAAATAAGTAGAGGCACAGTGACACACACACACACACACACACACACACAAAATATATCTGAGGGCAGGATAGGAACACCTGTGGAGAGGAAGGTGGGGACCCAAAGGCTGCACCCTGCTCTCACTCAGTGGGGCTGGAAGGAAGGAACCCAAATTTACCAACCTGGGAGGGGGGCATCGCACACACCACACACACACCCACACACACACGCTCATGAGACACAGGTGTGCACAATTGGGAGGGGCTCACCACAGCAGGACCACCGGCAGCAAGGCTTAGAGGGATGTGTGGTGATAATTGTGCATGTGAAATTGCTAGTGGGTTTCTTTTTTCTTTCCCCGTTTAAATGCCTCTTATTGGATTAAATTATAATGTTCTAGTTATCTGTTTATTTAGCAGGGATAATACACGATACATGTGTTATACAAGATGTAGGTAAATGCTCATTTTCTACTGCAAGCCCTGGACAGAGGCCACCAGTGACGTATAGGTTACAGAGATCAGTGGTAGTAAATCAGATCCTTACACAGACACAGATTTAAGATACTAATGCCATATGAAAAAAACTAAGAATCAATGCAAAATAATCAACAGAAGAAGAATACTAAATTTTAAACTAAAACCAATAATCAAAATAAATGTAAATATCTTTACTAAGAAATCACTTAACCATCATTAAGCTGTAAACGCATTAGGAAATGTATGTAAATAATTTAAGGATTTGAGTCACTCATGCATCGTTTTACTCTCAGAAAATTGTGTATGAAGAAAAAAAGAAACAAAACATTATGCAATGATACAGTGCAAGAACAAGAAATCAATTCACAAGTGACTCGATTATAAACTTCAAATGTCACTCGGGCGCTTCCTGTTGCAGACAGTGATTGTATTCAGTCCAATAAAAATAACATAATGTTCTCTTTCTGGTGAAAAGATTAATTCATTTTATTCCTCGTGTTAATTGACTTCAGAGCTTATATAAACACTTTATAATATCACTGGCTGCTGATATGGAAGTCAGTGTGAAATTGCATTAACGTTCCCTCATTTCCCTCTTCTCTCCTGTTTAGTGACTCGCTCCCGTCACTGTAGACTTATGACTGGCTGACCGAGGGAGTTAATGTGTTCAAGAGCCAGCTGTCCCTCAAATAACACACTCAATAATTCATATTGCAAGGAACACACCACACACAAACACACACATACTGATCTGTGTATGCGTGTGTCGAGATGCAAGTCAGTTCGACACCTTTTGTATAAACTCGGCAAGGAAGTAGCAACATAAGTGCTGACCAGTCTTGGGCACAGAGTCTTTGCTTGCTAAGAAGGCAATAAAGAATGTGTGAGAGAGGGAGAAAGATAGAGACGATCACATTAGGTGAGTTTGGCTTGGAAGGCAATAGGATAGAGCTCTGTGTGTGTGTGTGTGTGTGTGTGTGTGTCCTCTTTACTAATGGAAATCAGATCTCTCATGTGTTGAGCCAGCAGAAGAAGAAGTGCAGTAGATCCATCATGTCAGACTAGGCTCAGACTCGCAGGCCGACCTTCACTCAGATACTCCAAGTAATTTCCCCCCCAAAAATGTTTAGATCAGCCAAAACTGGGCAAGCTCTTTAATTAACGAATGCAAATGCAAATTCAGGAATCAGATATCAGACAGTTTGAGAGACAGGGACGGGGGACGGGGGGGGGGGGCACTACATCTACAAGTATCTAGATTTGTTAATGTGTGTGTTTTCCACTGAGTCGATTCTCATGTCCTGTCCAAGAAAGTATAGAATCAAGTCCTAGTCAAAACAAATGTCTTGTACAAAACAAATTAAAAGTCAGTAGCAAGTCGTTGCAGCTCTCTGAATGCTGACCATCACAATGGCACACTACTGTATTTACTGTGTGTACAAACTGTGTTAAAGGTCCAGTGTGTAAGATTAAGTAGCATCGAGCAGTGAAGTTGTTAATTGTAACTAATTAAACTCGGCTCAGATGATGATGAATCAGATAGAAACAGCTCATTCTAAGGTAACAAAACACAACAGTTCCTATATTCAGGTGATTATACACTAATTTAAACATAGTTATGAATATTATAATAGATTTCTGCCTATAGATCCTCCTTAATGTTACACACTGGACCTTTAACATTGTTTTGAATTGTTTCACACTCAAATGTGAATAATTGCTGGCTAATTGTCTCCTAATTGTTCAAGTTAATATTTGGGTTTTGGACCATTGGTCAGACAAAACAAGTATTTTGAAGATGTCAGTGTTGTAAATAATTTCCCCTATTTTCTGACATTTTGCAGATCAAATGAGCATATTTATTGTGATGAACATAATTGTCAGTTTAAGCCCTGGCTGAGACCAGTTCTCTCTAGCCTCAAGTCATGTCTTAGGGAGTCTCAACAAAGACCAATCCCAAGTAATTTCTAAAGTTTTAGGTTTAAGGTTTGGAAAAAAAACACCAAAAAGAAAAATACAGTGAGGTATTTATATATTTATTTATATATCGGACACTGATAACAGGTCATCTGCTAATCTGCTTCATGGTCTGAGTTTGATAAGATTTGATTGACAGTGCTGGCATAAACCAACAACTTAACACAATTGTGCCGCCCCCTACTCCAAACCAGTGGGGCTGTTGCTCTGTCATTAGCTTAACTGTGGTTTAAGGTGTAAGACAGGTTTAAACCTGTCTTGTCCTTTAAGTGATCTCTGAAGTAATCAATCTGAAAGCCAGATGAAACGTTAACATTAGTGTCTGAAAGCCCTGTAGTGAGGTAAAGCTGTGGTTCCACTCCAGCAATAGATATCAAAACACACTTACTGATCCCTCTAAATACATTACCACATTCTAGAGATACAGTAATTAAGTAAACCCAAGGTGCTTTTTCTTGAATCAGGTCATTAGTTCATTGGGTGGATTACCACACTGAAAACTAACCTTGTCTTCTACCACTCTCTCTCTCTCACACACACACACAGACCAGGCTGGAGTTCATCGTCTTCTCTTTCTGCTCTGCTGCTTTAACAGGCAGCGACCCCTCCTCTCTCCTCTCGTCCACCCCCACAAGAGCCTGATGATGTGCAGGCTCCATAGAGCAGGACTTTCAAACGATATCATTACCATTTCAAAGAACCTGCTGCTGCCTTATGGACCTACAAGCTGTGGCATGTTACATAGAGCAGGACGTTGTTTGTCACCCACTGAATCATCACCATACATCTCTTTTTATCTAACTGACTACCAACTACTGTATGTCACGCGCTCCTGAGTCCGCTGGCTGTGTGTTGCTTCAATTAAGGGAAAAGGCATCGATGCTGTGTGTGTGTGTGTGTATCCGCAGTTGTTGCAGTTATCCTGTGAGGAATCGCTGCCACTTGTCAGTGTTTCAAACAAAAGCCTTGTTTCTGCTGCTGTCAATTACATGGCAGATATAGAGCAGAGGCTGGCAGAGAGAGGTACTGAATCTTCTGCAGGCCCCTGAGGATAGATTTACACTAAACAAGAGTCAAACACTTTGGAGGACATGATTCTCATTTGATTATTTATTGCTCATGAAGGTGAGGAGGGGTCCGTGCGGTACAGGAGGGGGATCTGTCACCCCCCCTCCTCAGCTTGAGGTTCTCTCATTTAAATACTGCTAAACACAAACACAAACACACTCACAGACTTAAGCGCCCAGCGGTTCCTGCTGCAACATTAATGTCCTCATTTATCCTCTTATGCACAAATGTCAACCTTTGTCAGCCTTCATCCCTGCCTCTCCTTTTCTCCCCCCCCTTTTAGTCCCCCTCCACACCTTTACCAACTCATCTCTCCCACCCTGCTTGTCTCCACTCCTTTGTATTTGCTTCCATGGCTTCTAGCCCATTCACTGCTAACTACATACCCTTTACCTACTCTCTGTATTCCTCTCACTCTTTCACTCTGCAGCTCATTGTATCCAGCTCACCCCCTCCTGCCCCTTCCCTCACCTCCCCTCCCCTCCCCTCATCCTATCCTGCATCCTGCACAGATATTGCACATTTTTTCCACAATATCTACCTCTCTCTTATTTAGTTTCATTGTCTTTTCCCCCCTTATCTCTGCTTGGGGATCCTCTAGTGACATCATCACTCCTACAGTTACCATGGTTTCAGGGGGAAAGGGACTGTAATAACTGTTTGGATCAAACAGACCGGCTCGGTGTTGCCACACAAAAAAAACAAGAGGCCCAAAATCTTCAAAGGAATTACTATTTATTAAAGGGTCAAGACATAGTTTGCAGGTTTAGGTGGAAACGTGACGCATTTGCGTGTGTGTGTGTAAGTGGTCAGGACAGTGTTAATGACGGATCTGTGTGGACGAACAAGTTCTCATCGTAAAGGTCTTCATCCAGGGCGCCTTCCTCTTCAGTGAAATAGGTAGGGAATGGTGGGTTGATCAGGGTGGAGTTTCTGTTTGGCAGTTTGGAGTCTCTTACCTGGAACACACACAAACACACACTTTAGTTTACACACAGCTCTGAGGACACTCTTGTCTTAATTAGTGCTGAAACAATTAGGTGACAGAAACAATGTGTTTCTAGTTGCTAACAGCTCTGACAATCGTTACTGTTAGTCATATATGACAAACAAATGCCAATCATTAGGATTTTCCAGCTTCTCAAACTTGAGAATTTATTGCTTTTCTGTGTTTTATTTCACTTTTGGCTTTTAGGCTGTAATGGGCACTAGAAAAAGTATTACAGGCATTTTCCAATATTTTTATTTTTTTTATTTTTTTTTTAGATCAAATCAGCAATTGGTTTTCTGTCATGCACGATTCAGAAGCAGACAAACATTCACGCGCCCCCCCCATCCAAAGTAAATTGATATAAAGTTATAATCCTTAAGATTATCATGTCATGAAACCCCTATTTTTGAGGGGGGCTTTTTTGTCTTTATTGGTAGTGGCTGAATTCAGAAGAACATGGAGGCATTCAAAGGAGAATGGGCATGCATGTCATCCAGTGCACCTTTATCTCATTGATTTACTGTTCACTCTCTTTACATCATAAATAGAACAACCTGCTGCTGCTGCTTCATATTAAAAGTGTTCAACTGGTGAAACGCGTCTTTTTTGGCTGCTCCAGGAGCGTTGCTGTAAGCTGAACTTTCTAATTACCAAATCAACCAGGACTACAATCTTGAGGATTATTTTCATCAATCATTAACAATACAGCGCAAACTACTAATAAAACAAGCCAAGCTTAATTTTATATTAAATAAAATATATGTGTTTGTGTAGTATTTCCACATGAGTTATATTCACCGCAGTGACTCTGCGACTATGTCCCACAGGGAAAACACAGGGGTAAATGATTAATCTGTAAACCATAAAAATAATAATCAACATATTTATTAATAAAAAAATTGTATTAGTTGCAGCCCTTGACCTAATCTTAATCAATAAAACATAGCTGTTCCTCATTTACATAAGGACATTAGGGTTGCACAGAATAATAACAACAAACATTATTAACCTGCATGTGTACCCTTTAGGG